GGCCAGCCACAACAAAAAGGAAATTTCTAGGCCAGCTCGGATCCCACATGGCTGACTATGCAGTTAAAGTCCCAGGTTTGGGAATTTAACTTGAGAAACACACCAGCCACAGGAGTGTGCATCCTCCAAAGGGAGAGAGAGATGGAGAAGAAACTGTGGTATCGCCATTCCCCACTGGGGGTGCTATCTTGTCTCCCTCCTCTCGGTCTCTGTCTATCTCTGAAGAACACACTTGCCCTCTAGTGCAAATAAAGGGGGGAGACTCCTTACCCTCCAGAGGTAATGAAACGGGGTCTCTGCAGTTCAATGCTCTGGACCAGAAGTCTCGGCTCGAGTGTTCGGATCTCCACATATCGAGGCAGCACTGCGATGATATATGGGGGCTGGTGTTCTGTGCGAGAGAGAACACACTGAGCTGCAGCTCTGGGCTTGGGTTTGTGGAGTAGGCTGGTTACCCAATTTATGTGTGTGTGGGTGGGGGGGGGTGGGGGGATGCTTCAGACAGAGTCTTGCTTTGCTATGATCCTCCTGCCTCAGTCTTGTTGGGCTCCCACATAGTTGACCACGGTTTGAGTCCCGCACGCCGGGCACATGTGTGTGCATGCCCAAGATCCCAAGAGGAGACTGGAGACATGTGGCTGGCGGGGGGAGGGTTATCACTTTCTGTCTCTCTGTCTCTCCAGTGAGCACATGTGCCCTATAGCAAAAATCTCTCTTAAAAAAAAGAACTGGATTCATCAGGAAAGTCAGGACATATTTTTCTGGTTTTCTATGTAAAAATGCATCATGACTTTCCTGACAACCCAATAGCTGGGATCACAGGCCCATGCCTTTATTCTTGGCTTTTTAGCGTGGGCCAGGAAACAAACCCAACTGCCAAGCAGTTGCCCATTCTAAGCTAAGTTAAGTGGATCTCTACAAAGTCCACTGGTCATATACCAAGCAGGAATCCTATGCCGTGATGCAGAAAAGGAAAACACTGCTTTGCCTAAGTGATGCTAAGAGAAATTTCTGGCACGAAAAAGATGCACCAAGCTGTGCTGAGAGTGATCCGATCCCACACCTATCATTTTCCCCAAAGCCCTATACGATCATTTCTCTTACTCCTTCCTCATCTGTCATGATGCTAGGCCAGATAAAGGCCAGCTGCTGTTACCCCAAACAGGGCATCTGAGGGAGAAGGTGGTCGCAGAACTTCTCTCACTCTCTTAGAAAAGCCAAGAGGAAGGCAACTTCTCTTTTTTCTAAAGTTATTCTAAGAAAGAGTCCCTATTTCTAGTCAATATTGTTTTTGCTTGAGATTTTTACAGGGAAAAGATGCAAAGCTCCATCCAATAGCTGCCATCGATGAGTGTTTTTTTCCCTTTAAAACTCATGGTATGGGGACCAACAGTTAGCGTAATGGCTATGTCGCTGGACTCCCATGTAGCCGACCAGGGTTCGTGTCCTGGACCCGGTGGCTTAAAACTCATGCTGGGTGCATGTGTATGCGTGCCCAAGATCCCGAGAGGAGAATGGAGGAGAAGGGATTGCAGCGTGGCTAACCCCCCTGGGGGGTGACTTCTCACTTTCTGTCCCTGTCTCTCTCTGTCTGTCTGGCAAGCACACGTGCCCTATAGCAAAAACCTCTCCCAAAAAAAAGAACAAACCCAAAAACTCATGGTAGTCTTTCTGGAAAAAGAAATGTAATACACTGTAAAGTTATATGTGATTTAATGTAATATAAACAAGATTATGATGATAATAAATAAATAAATAAGGGAAAAAACTTCATGTGTTAGAAACATAACCTACCAACAGTATTAAGAGGTAGGGCCTGCTGGGAGGTATTTAGGTCACCAGGGCTCTACCCACATGGAAGAATTAATGCCACTCTAAAAAGGTTTCCAAGAATAGGTTCTCTCTCTTCTGCTCTTCTGCCATGTGAGGACACAGAGTTAATTTATTTTTAAATTTAACTTTATTTATTATTATTTATTTTTGTTTTAATTTGACCAGAGAGAGACAAACAAAGAAAGGGAAAGTGAGAAAATAAGCCACCAGGTCTGAGACTCAAATCACGGTTGGTCGTGTGGGAATACAGCGTCACAACCACCACACCACTTGCCAGCCCCACAGAGTTCATTTTTTAATTTTAAAAATTAAAAAAGTTAAAAATTGTTAGGCTGGTCCCATGGCCTAGTGATTAAGGGAGCTGGTTTCCACATGGCCAACTATGGTTCAAATTGAAAAACACACCAGGCACATGTGTGTGAGCGAAAAATCACCCCCCAGGGGAGATGGTCACACCGCAATCCCTTCTCCTCCATTCTCCTCTCGGGATCTTGGGCACGCACGCACATGTGCCCGGCGTGAGTTTAAGCCACCAGGTCCAGGACTCGGACCACAGTCGGCTACATGGGAGTTCAACGATATAGCCATTACGCTAACTGCTGGTCCCCCTCCTCCCAAATTTCAATGTAAAAAAAGAACTATCAATATTATAGTAAAAAACAAACCACTAGGTGGCATAATTATCACACAGAAACTTAAGGGATAGTGTATGTTCCTAAGAATAGCTTCTTAGTGTGGTTAACTTGTTATAAATTTATATTCCTAATTGTTTTCTGATAAAGTTTTACCTATTATATTTGCATTATACTCTAAAAGAAGAGTACAATAAAATTTCAAAGCTAGAAAGGAACTCAGAAATGAATAATCTGAAATTTAAGTCATATTTCCATCTTTTTTTTTTTTTGTCAGAGGGCATATGTACTTGCCAGAGATTGGGGGGCAGGGGAGGAACCACCTCCCCAATGGGGTGGGATCATGCCACAATTCTTTTTCCATCCTATCAGGATTTTGGTACACACATACAAGCACCCAGTGTTTTTCAAGTTGCTGGGATGAATTAGAATCACAGTTGGCATGTGGAAACCAGCTTCCTTTTTTTTTTTTTTTTTTTTTTTTTGGGGGTTTTTTTTTTCGGG